TGAGAAACTACGTTCAACGTCTACAGAAGTAATTGGAGCATAATTAAAGTATGCCAAATCATCATTTGTCATATCTTCAGGAAAACCTTCCAATTGTTCCACTTCACCACTTAATATTTTATAAATTTTTAACACAATATTATAACCAGAATTTTTATCTAAAACATTATTCATTTTATTTACAATTGGTATAGCCTTTGTACATTTCAAGTGACTGATTTTATTTTTTGTATCTTCAATTACTTTTAACGAATCCGACGGCTTAGAACCTATTTTTTTCTAAAAATGTTATAGCTCGAGGTAAAAATTCAAAATTTGCTTTGATAAATGATAAATCAACTGAACTGAACACTAAACAATTAATAATCTATTATTCTATATCGACTATTATCTTTATCGACATTCGGTCGATATCCAGCGGGTTTTACGATCGATACGGGATTATAGACTTATAGTATTCTTTATAGTTAATCTTTACACAAAAATTATAACGAGATATGAGAGGTAGTTTGTAGATAGCATATTACTAGAAGTATTAAGTCCTATTAATACATTTTTTTTTTCAACCGGTTGAAATATGTAATATTAATGTATATGTAATATGTATCTATAGTTTTTAGTTTGAAATTTGAAATTTTTGCCAAAATATGCAAAATAAACATAAAAATGTTAAAATATGCACTCTCCTGCAAAATCTATCAAATATGCAAAAATATGCACATTCAAATTTTAGTGTCTGATATCGTGGCACCTAACGAATTTATTTCGCACTCTGCTATATTTAACAGTAATTAAAAAAAGTATGCAAATGCTAGAAGTCCCTAAGCCTAATAATAATACAACAAATTAGTGATATCCCAATAAAAACACTCCTCCAAACTCAGTGTAAAAAAAAGCTATTTACTATTGAATAAATATAGAACTACTATCAGTTACTCAAATATTATAGGCAGGATAATCAATTTATAAATATGGAAAATAATTATCATTTTGAAGTCAGATTAAAGTTGATTATATTATTTTCAATGTATATAATATGATCACAGTTTCAGTATACAGATATGTATTATGTATGTGTATGAAGCATAATAATTATATAAAGCGCCATGATAAAGGACGGATCATGACATATTACTCCGCAATCATGTATACGTTTAGCCATCGCCACCAAGTGAATTACTACGTGGCATTAACCGGGCCATGTTGACGAAATCCCTTGTTGACTCCACAGCTGCTAACGCAATTTCTACCAGCATCTCCAAGGCGATCATCCTTTCCCCGTCAATTATAACTTCTTCAGCAGGAGTACCCGATAACTGTACTGCTAAGTTGGCAGCATTCATTGCAATCTCCGATGATATGAGTGCCGCATCCGCAATAATTGCGGCATTGATGATATTCATCATGGCCACAACTTCCACTGTATTTGATGTGTCCACGACCCTCAATGCTTGTGGAATTGACAGCCGCATATATTGGCCATCCATAATGCCCCTGTCCAATATTATTTTATAAGCAGCATTGTTCCGGATCAGATTAGTCGAGCAAGACTCCTCTCTAGAGCCATATAATCTATTATAGTTCACAGAGTTCTCGGCGTCAATTGCAACCTGCTGTCCATCCGATTGAGACGTCCGTGATGACGAAGAAGATGACATAATTGCAATGTCCCAAATTTATTCTGAAACACATAATTAACGGTAATTAATGTCTATGTAAGCACCTAATACTAAGGGCTCCCGAATACCCGGGACAATTTAAAAAAGATAATCTGGTCAATGTCAACACTAGTGCCGCCTATTGACGACCACATGTGCCTGTGCCTTGTAAGCTACGAGTAGGCAATTAAATACGCATGGACGACGACTACGACGAGGATGGTACACTTTAATTAAGGGGAGGGGGTTTCTGTGATCGATCCCGTATGGTGCAATGATCGCAGAGCTCACAAACAATAGGGACAGTACTTGAAACTAATTTAAACTACTGACGTCGAACTAGACGATTTGGGCGGCCCCTCTCACAACGTACGTAATGTTGCTGGCGGACTTAGGCGTTGAATCCTTCGATCCAGCGTGCAGAGATGAGAATCACCAATTTCGACGGTGACAATAAACAGCTGCCAAGTTTGACGGAAATAATAATAAAAATCAATAAAGACCTACGATTGCAGCGTTAGTGTCTTTATTAATTATTTGTCTACCTCAAGCACACTAATAATAATATAATATAAGGCAACCGTGTGCACAATAAAAGTAACATTATAATATTGTGATCGCTTTATTAACGGGTAGTTCAGGGTTGGACTACCTCTATAGCACGTCCCGGGCATAATAAATTCGAACGGCCTCAATGAAACTTTATAAGTACCCCTAATCAAACGTTTGTTAACTAATAATGTATCTTCATAACACAATAAACAATATATGCATAGGTACATTTGAATGTTTTCAGATTTAATGTTATACTTTAAATAAATCAAATTTAAGCATAATATAATAACAATATTTACATTTTATATTACATTGATATAAATGATATAATACCTATTAAGATGAATTTTATAGATTAAAAAAAAACGATTTGATTTAAATATGTATTTTTTCTAAAATAATTACCTACCAGTAATTGAGTAATAACTAATAATTGATTTGAAGTCGACAGAAACGTCGGAAAATCGGAAACTGGGCACAGACTTATAATTGAACGTCTAAACTATTGAAGTTTTAAAATAAAAATCTTATAAATCTTATAAAAAAATAATATTATTATTATCGATTATCGAAGAACAATTTCTTTATCGCATCAACGCGAATGGTACAGTCAGTACGACTATCATATTGTACACAATACACATCATTTGTTTTCAAATTTCTTATAGTTGTTCTATTTATAAATAATATGACAAAACCATTATCAATCGGCCTATCGCGATGTTAAATATGTTCAATCTTTACACTAATATATAGTTATCCAATTCCGTGTCGCCGCAAAGGCGCAAACAATAAGTGACGTCACGTTACAGTGTGATATTTTTATTTTATTATAATAATAGAAGATAGACGTATTAAATTAAATACAAAATAATTTAAGTGAACTTTTTTAACTAAAATTACAGCGGGCCACCGGGGCATGCCCCGATGCCCCGGCGGCCTAGTCCGACCCTGGCGGGTACACATACGAACAAACAACATAGCTTTAGTAGCGGATACAAAATTAATATGGGTTCGGTATACTTACAAATTATTTCAATTTAAAATCCGTGATGGTAGTTCTTGTCCAATTCAAATCACACTAATACACTATTACAATATAATATTTGACAGCAAAAAGCAGCATCAGCAACAACCCACAGCTCGTTAGCAAAATATTTTAGTGGTGCACCGTGCACGAGACATAATGCTGAATGCTGATAGTTTAGCGAACGACCCAGAGTCACCGTGACACCGTGGGCATGCAATGGACGGAATTCGCAACATCAGTGTAGCCAACTATCGTTCAATTAAATACATTTAAGATTTTAAGTAATTTATAACCACGAAGATTAGCAGACCAAACACCTATCGTCTCCTGTTATAAAAGTGGCACTACAAAAAGCGCAAGGCAATTCTGTCACTAGGAGCGGGTCGTTCGATAGTAGTGCTACATTTTATCATTCGTCGGCCAAAATTGCGAAGGTCGTAATTCGTAAGTCAAAAATGGTACATTTTACAGGAGAGGAAAAAATGTTACGACCATTTAGTCATTACGACTTTATCATACTATGATGCGGTTATTTTTTTCACAAATAATCTCAAAACATAAAAACATGGAGTTATGACTTGCGATTTAGGCTGACGCAGTATACTATTTAATATAGTCTAATAGGCATAGTGTACGTTTATTCGAATTAAACATGAATTATTATTCCTTACAAATACTTTATAGTCCGGAGAGGGTGAAATAAAACACCAAAAAATAAATCTTTCAAACATTCCAATTTAACAAGACAAAGCAAACCTTTTTAATCAAAATTATATGCTTTTTAAATACAAATTATAATCAACTACAGGTCACTACAATTAAAAATATTCTTAAGAATAATCATGGAACACAAAACTGCTTTTTGACTGACAATTCAACAATAATGGGCCAAATTTGAGACCAAGTAAGACACTCTGGAAAAATGTGTTATCTTTCAATCAGAACTCAAAAAACTAAATTACAGGTTAAACTTTACTACTAGATGTTGACCTTTATCAAACTGACTTCCCAAAACATAACCATAAGATAAATAATATATCTGAACCTATGTATTAAAGCTAAAATTAATGTCAAATAACATTACAATTCCAGTAATACTAGGCACAGGAGCAAATATATATTGAATAGACATAAGTTAATGCTCTCCAAAAGACAACTATAATGTACATAAATAATGTAGGTACCTAATGTCACATCCACATTTTAATAGTTAATTCACTCACTTTTTTGGATTTTTCGTACAACAAGGTTTATATTAAAGCTTACAGTATTTAAAATACAATTTAAATTATGCCACTAGCTATCAAAACATTCATTTATAGAAAACTATTGTTACTATAAAAGAATTACAATATAATTGATACTTAGTATAGCTTCCTGTAATATGTATTCGACGGAGAAATTAATTTCGGAAGTGCAGAACTATCCTTGTTTATGAGTTCTGAAGAATGCAGGATAAGGACTTAAACAAATCATGTTGGATGAAGGTAGCTGAGGTCGTTTATTTTACAAATCGGAATAATTTTTTACCAACAGAAAAAAAAGAAAAAGGTAGGTAAGACCTATTTATTAATATAAAATTATTTCTGTAAAATTAGATATGCTGGAAATATTTTTTTATAAATTAATGTATATTTTAGCATATACCAATTAGTACCTACATCAATACATCATACAAAATAAATAAGTACCTAATTTTCATACATTATTTTACTCTGTCATAATTGTTTTATCATATACCTAATTATAATAATAATAATAATAATAATAATCTCTTGATTGTACATTCATAACGATACTATATGGCTAATTTAAAGTAGAATATTTAGAAAAAAATTTTACTTAGGTATACTTCATGGTTACTTTGTAGTTTGTACTTCAACTAAAAATTATAATAATAATATACACAATATTCCTACATACGAAAGGTAATGCAATTTGATTTCAAACGATTTTATTAAAATAGTTTTGAAATATTTTGACTTTTTTAAGCTAGTTACAGTCTGAGGTAACCCATAGAATAGACTCATGAGGTAACCGCATTACTGCATATTTTATTGCCTATGCATATCTTACAAGGGGTTAGAATATAGAAATCTATTTGAAAAAAATTAATGTTCAAAATGATGGATAATAATAATTTGACACAAAGTTCTATTAAAGAATATATACATGGTAATTTTACATAAAAAGTTTAATTTAAATTTTCTCTAGTATAACTTGTTAAATGTTGAGGCGTCTGACAAAAGTTCATTCGCATTTATTATTTAATACTCAATTTTTAACTTAATTGTTATATGTAATAACTCATAACAAATTATGTTCATAGCATGCCACCAAAAATATTCAATCAATGATTTATAATAATATGGTGCTAGAAAAATAATCGTTTTGTCGTTCATATAATGGTTACCTCAATTATTTGGTGAAGTGGAAAAATTTTGATACTGTGTAACCTTTGAATTGAAATTCGTAAAAAACAAATGGTCTCAAATACTGATTCAGTATTTTGAAAGAATCATGGTTTTTCAAAGATAATTATACAATTTAAGAACCTTGAAAAAAATACAAAATAATTATTGTTTCATGAATTAGATACACACAATTTAATATTATTTTATATTATAACATCAGTATTAAATATTTATGTAATATTTTATAAATGCATTACATTTAACGTTGTAAGTATTTTGTTGCTTATAAAGACATCTTCATCACATAAATATTTTTTTTTAAATTAAATATAATGAATATTGTCACGGCTTGCACATATTTAGTCTGAGTTGGTTCATTTTGTTTCTGAATAATATTTAGATAGTAAATAAATATTTTACATACCTACATGTCTTGTAAATTTTTCAAGACTATAGCGATTAAGCTGGAATATTTTTTTCATAATTTGAGTTAAATTTATATTTTATAAGATTATATTAAAATGAAAAAATATTATGTTTATTATTTGCCAGTTTCAAAATTACTATATAACAATCAGGTATGTATAATATTATACAATGTCATATCTCTAGAAGTTGTAATTTATATTATCAATGTATGTTGAATATAAACACAAATGTTGAATATTTTGATATAATACTATAGAGTATAATTATATATTTATAATTATAAATAATTATTTTAAAATAATTAAAAAATAAATTAATAATTATTTTTAAATATTTATATTATATATTATATCTCATTGATCATTTACTTAAACATCCAACATAGGACAAATGATCTATCTACTACAGCTTGAGAATATTTTTGAGTAAATTCAATTCTAATAATTGTTATCAATTAATCACCATATTTATACATTATTAAACATAATATAAAAAATGTTAAATCAATAAATTTAGGTAGATAAAATAATTTCAATTTTCAGTTCAATCTTTTATACAAGAAATTAAAAATAACTTAAGTGTACCTAATTATATAAGTACTACAAACAAATAAAAATAACTTAATCAAAAGATTAAACTATCAAAACATCATAATTGTAATATTTAAAAACAATAGCAAGTCAGTCAATCCAAAAAAGTGGACAAGTGGGTACCGCTATTCTGTACAGTGGTCGTGAAGTATGGCATTGTAAATGGAAGTGTTAGATTTGAGTTCAATGATAAATCATTGCATAAGAAAAACGATTTTGACCAGAGACAGGGGTGTTTCATCCTAATATATATGTATAAATAATTAAAAACTGCTGAATATCAAAAATTGTAAAAAATTTAAAATTAATGATACTGCCTGGTGAACATTTTTTTTTAAACTTGGGAATCTTCTTTCAAAATATTGATCGTTGACTTTAAAAATTTTTTTTTCATTAATTTCTATCCGAAAATAGTTTCAGTATTACTTTTACTCACATTTATAAGACAGAACACATGCTTAAGTGATTAATTCAACTTGGGTTTTTTAAAATTTTTTATTAATTCAAGCTAATAAAGATAAGATTAACAAATTTAGTATAGGTAGTAACACTAACACAATATAAATTTAACAACAATATTAAAGTTTAATTCATTTTGAATATTCCAAACTCCAAAAAGTAAAACGATCTTGAGTTCATATTGAAAATGGATAGTTCTAGTATGTTGCACCTAGAAAATAATAAAATTAGTAGAGATACGGCATTATCCGTACAATAGCTTAATTTTTCACAATTGTTCTTAAATATACCTCATAGAATTATATTAATGTGCAATTATATAACATTTTTATTAGTTCAAATTTCATAGTTATTTATTATATTATAAGAATCTTCTTGCACTTAGTACATACAAGGATCCTTCTTTTCCCCCTAAAGAATTTTTGCTGTCTATGACAAGTTTCAACAAAAAATGCAAGTACAAAATCTTGCAGCATTGCCGAAGTAAAAAACTACATATTCACTTCTCATAGTTTTTTTAAAGTTTCTTGTATTGTTTTGAATTTATAAAAATGTATTATTCTGTTATTGTGTACACATGATAACAACAGAATACAATAATATATGCTGTGTTGTATATTAGTTTAATACATTGAAATATTGGATGAATAAGTAGCTCAAGTATAAATAATAATTTAAAAGTTTAAAATTATACATAAAGGAGAAGATTTTCTAATTTACAAAAAAAAATGTTTAATCTAATTATTAGACTATTTTACGATTCACTTTATGGAAGATGTTGACTTTATTTTATTAAAAAAATGAATCACCATAAAATATTTTCCAGTTCTTTCCTCCTATGTAAAACGTTATTGAGAAAACAATTTTATGTGGGAATATTTTCATTATCCAAATCAGAAGATGAATCATATTCGTTCGTATCATTTTCAGCAACATAACATGGAAAACAAGGTAGATTACGAGCTATAGAACACTTTGAAAATAATAATAATTTAATATATTATAAAAAAAATAAATTTATCATATAACTTTAATTAATTACCCTTAGTGAGCGTTTTACTGTATCATAATTAGGAGTTTTATTATGTTTGTAAAATAAATCTTCATGTATTTTTGTAAGATATTCAAAACCTGAATAAAATCATTAACATGTAAACATCATATTACATTTTATGTATAAAAAGTACAGTTAAATCTGAAATCACATATACTCACATATACGATTGGAAGTAATAAGCGGTTCTTCTTTGAGTAATCTATGCACATACATATAATTCGTAAGTGGCACTCTAATTAATGTAATTAATTCTGACAAAAAATATTTTCGGTTTCCTTCATCATGTTTTACCCATAATATAACAGCATTTAACACCTGTAAATATTTAATTTGTTTAATGAATTATGTACCATAATATACCATGTAATAGATGTGAAAATAAATTGCATTATATAACTTTGATACAAACATTTTCTTCTTCTACGGTATACAATTCATCGCTATCAATTAACTGTTTGAGATGTTCAATATCTAAAGTCAAAAATGCAGCACATCTGACTACTTCACTGTAAAATAATTAAACATCAGACTATTTTACTTCTTTAATATATAACATTATGTAAAAAAAAATGTCACTAACTCAAAATTTTTTAGAGCCCATTGAAAACATACAATTGGCAGATTAACCATCATTCTTGAATCAGCTATTGCTTTTATGTTCAACCAATTTTCACCATTGATTGATCTCAGAAGAAACTCAATACATAAATCTTGAACATCAAATAGTTGTAAGATATCAGCTGCTTTCAATAATCTCTTTAAAAATAAAAGATGCCATACAATTATGAGTCATTTAGAAGCATACAAATAATTACTTCAACAATATCCTCGTGGATTGGAATCAAAGTACCAGTGTAAATATAATCAATCAAATTATGCAAAATATCACTGTTAATATCTGTTATATGAATACAATTTTGATCATTTTCTTCAGATCTCTCACTGAACATTTTTTCAAAATACATACAATTACTCATTAGAACACATTTATGAACTTGTATGGTATCACCATCAGCTGTCTTTAAAGTGACATCACACAATGTAGCGTTTCTAAATAAAAAAAATTAGTAATATATTATATTAAAATATAAACACTTTTTTTTAATCTCTAACTTGCGTAATTCATTTAATTTTTCATACGATGACTCTTGACGTCGCTGTTTCATCAAACTTATTGAGTAGAATTTACTTGGCTGTCTAATAAAAGAGAAGTAATTTAATCAAAATTATTTAATAATATAATATAATAATTATAGGTTTTAAATAGCTAAAAAGTAAAGTATATTTTTAGAAATGATTAATATTACACTATAATGTGGTTTTATTGCTATATTGGTGTATACAGTTTTAATATAATATTTTTGAAATGGTTGGTATATGTATACATTTAAATAGGTACTATAATAATACTACAAAGCATGGATATACTATTAAGATAACAAGATATTTATTATATTAATGATTACTTTTTTTTTCATAATGTATTATTTGATTATTTTTTAATTTATTAATTAATTTTGTTGACTGTATCTTGATAATATTTTAAAACGTGCAAACAATTAACTATTTTTAAATGCTTATAATTCACTTTAAAATTAAAATATACCTAACTTCTACATATGGTAATAAGTCAATTTGCTCCAATATTAATCATAACAAAGTTAAATAGATTATTCAGAAATCACAACGTTACACTTTTGTAAGACGTAGACGACACATATTGATATGGTGTCCTCTTCCTTATAAATGTGATTATTTGTATTATTTACAATGCCAATAACAGAAACAGTTTAAAAAACATTTATTGGATGTCCTTCTTTAGTTTTCAATCTAATGATTATTAGCTTAGCCACCTACCTAAGTGTAATATCATGGTCATATGAATTACCTCCATATTATATTCATTATTGACTGCGGTCGGTATTTTAACGTAGCTGATTTCAAAAATCAATGTATCTTCTAAACTCTTGAGTAACTGTACGTCAGATTCAATACACAAATAGTACAAATACACTGAAAAATTAAATCCTAGATACTTAGCTGTAAATCGTCGATAGTGAAATCAATGAATAATTGTAATCTGAAAAACTAATTGACATTTATTTAGCCGTGATATCCAGAGCGACCGTACTGGCGCTTAGCTAAGTAAAAAAAAAAGGCGGAGCAGTGACGACCGTGGTATAGTATAAATGTATAATATACATCCAGTGCAACCGTACTACACTACTGCGGTAGTGACGCGAAGCGAAGTTATCACGTAGAACATTATACGAGCCAAAGTTTGCCCATTGAATGTGTGTACATTTGCCCATTTTCTTTAGCCAAGCCTGCACAGCTAATGAATTGACGGATCGGTTCGTTTGTGGCATCAATAGGTCGGACATGATGTGCAGATTATATCTTGGTCATTTTTGAAAAAACTGGTCGAACAATTCCGAATATATTGGCAAATAAGTTAAGTGTTTTTGAGGCAGAAACACAATACTGTGCTCGACCATTTCAGTTATAACGTTTCACGTAGCAACGCCAGACACCGTATTACTCCCTTTATGCCGCATACGTATCAGTCGTATCACGCGTTCCCGCCGTTGCCCGCGCCTTCGCTTATCGTATTCGTTCTGGCGACACGCAGTGTTTACGTGTATTATCTCCTCCGCGCCGTAATATAATAATATAATAACCGAGTTTTATCACTGTTGTAATAATTGTAGTCACAAATAATAAATAGATATTTTGTTATTTGTTTCTATTTTTTAAAATGGTTTCTAAAGTGTATCAACAGCAATTACCATGGCCATCCCCTTAAATACATTTTGAACGACGGGGGGTAAAGATGTTGGTTTTATAATAATGCATTAAAAAATTGAATATGAATATAAAATAAATTAAATGAATTAACATAATATAATTAATGAATAAAAACATAAGAACATGTAAATCATATTACATGCCGGTACATAAAAATATGTTACAAAAAAACTACTGATATCCCATGAAAAACTTTTCTCAGAACCCCGTGTAAAAAATTACCAAGTAAAAAAAAAAAACGAGTCATTTATAAGACTAGCCATGGCTTAAATATACAAGGTTATTGCACATAGCCAAATTGCAGTGGTCGGGAGTAGCGCGCTAATTGTAGCGACGCTACAGTAGCACGCTACTTTCGCTGTAGCGATTAACATAGCGTCGCTACAATTTATACGATGTAGCGAAACACTATTGCGCGCTAGAAATTTACGGTTAGCGTAGCGAAAATGTTCATTATTTCATCGCTACTTCTAAGTTCTAACCTATTAATTTATTTATTATTTGGCTATTTCATGATAAAAATTATTATGATGTATGTTTATTTATTTAATTAAGATGACTAGATGAGAGTATTTTTGAATTTTTCTGGTTAAACCCAGACCGCACTAATCAGTAATCAATAATCATATATTATAGATAAGACTATAATCATAAGAGCATTATTAGTTATTACAATATTATTGAATAGTGAATACAGAACCATAAATAATAATGTATAGGTATATTAGTATTTTAAATTTTATTATCATTTATCACTATTACGGGCGAAAAACCGCGACCGACTAGTAGACAAGTGAATATCTAAACAAATCAAAAAAAAAATTTTAAAAAAAAGTAGCGTTAAAGTAGCGCGCTACTTTTAAAAAATAGCGTTAGAAATAGCGCGCTACTTTAAAAAAAAAGTAGCTTTAGCGATAGCGAGCTACTTTTGGGGGGGGGAGTAGCAGTAGCGTTAGCGTGCTACAAAAAAACAGTAGCGTCCCGACCACTGCCAAATTGTTATCAAATAAAAATTAAATGGCAGCGTAAGGGTACGGTCCATATTATAGCATATAATATCATAATATAGCCAGTATACGTCGTCCCCTTACGCTGCCATTTTAATTCCTTAACGTGATAAAATGATATAGTGGAGGTACTATTGCAATAACCTTGTATATTTAAGCCATGAGACTAGCATTATAAAGATGTGATATCATGAATAAATGCTAAGTGAATTAAATTTAAATAATAAATATGTAAATAATAATCAATAAGTATAATAACATAATAAATAAATTGATTCTACCTTTATAGTATATTATCAGTAAATTACTAACGAAATTTGTTAGGTATTGGCGTATTGCTTTCGTGTAATTTTCTCTTTTCAATTATTCGATTAAAATTGTTAAAAATAATAAAAATACTGAATTTAACTGAATCTGGTACTTATTAGGTACATATTTTAATAGCCTATATTTAGAGTTTAGATTAAGTGGTTAAGACGTTGTTCTCACATTCGTGATAGGTATAGCCGTATAGGTACTTCTTATAAAATATTTTTGTGTAGCCATAATATTGCAGTCTATAGATGATTCATACCTAGAATCGTAATTCGTAAAAGCATATATAATATATTATGACGTTGCAATAGATAATAAATATGTAAGAGTTATTCTAAAAATTTAATATTTACATTATATCTTAACATAGAATTGTATGGCGATGTATTATTGTATTAATATTCATTTTAATACATTTCGTAAACGTTTAAATATTATTATTCGAGGAGACGAGAAAGTTTGTTTTGAGTGATTTTTAGTTTTTACATATCTGCATTTAACGGATATATATTATAATATTTTTTTTAGGTTCATCAAAGACCGAAAAATCGCGCAGCTATGTGATCGAAGTTCTTAATATTACGTATAACTTCAACTTCAAATGCCTGTATATCGCAAACGAAAAGTCGTAAACATTTTTAGTTTGGACCATTATTTTTTTTTAACACGGAGTACTATGTTTTTTGAGTATAAAATAAATTTAAACTTTTTCCTTTCGTGGTCCTTTAAGTATTCAAGTATTGAAGTATGTAATCATAGGCGTGTCAGACCTAAATGGCTAATGGGGCAAGTTATACAATTTTCGTTTTTACGTACTACACCTTTAACTTTTTATGTAAATATGTAAACATCTAAAATTTAGGAAATCCCTGTTACTTACTTTAAAATATGTCAAGTGTCAATTAAGGAATTAATGTTATTTAAACTGAAATTAAGTAATTATCCATCAAAATTGAATAGGTATGAAAAAAATACAGTTAAATTATTATTATAAAAAAATGATATATTTTTATAATGATATGTTTTTGAGACAGTAAAAATGCTTAGATTCTCTTCAACAGTTTAATTTCTGCCAGAAAAATGAATCTGATTGGTACTTATAATTTATATATAGGGGTCAATAAAAAATTAATTAAAATAAGGGAATTTTTACTCAAAATTGGCTTTTAACAAAATCAATTTGGGTTTTTGGTGTAACTCTTAAAAAACTGTGCTAATATATTTTTTATATTTTTCAGTTATATAGAATTAATGACTCGTATGCAACTTTTTAAAAATTTTTGATCTTAGCTATAAAAGTTGAACATTTTATAAATATTTTAATAAGAAATAATTTTTACTTTTTCAATATGATAATTTTTTTCAAATTTTGGACTTTAAATGCTTATAAAACAAAATCGTACCCGTGACTTTTTAATATTTGTCAACTAATATTGTAAACAAAAATCAAGAGCCTTGTATTACATTTTCAAGCTTTTCGACCTAACAAATTAAATTGTATTAACATTTATACAAACAAAACTTAAAATAATTAAAAATTGAAAATGTCCGTAAATAGCTCAAAACGAGTCAAAATATTTTGAAAATGTTATCAAATATATGAAATGATAAAATACACATGTGGGGTAAATTTCAAGTATCTAAAGTTGAGTAATTTGTTTTTGAATTACAATAAAATAAGAAAATTGCATATTCGCATCTACAAAAAAAAATCAAGTAAATATCCAAATTGTAAAAAAATCGAATTCAAACGCTCTTAAAATTGTACTCGACTTTTCTGTAGAATTTTTATTTGGTGAGGGTAAACAAATTTCCAAGGAATCTCGTATTTAATTTCAAAATTTTAGATTTAAAAAGAAAAATGTATAGGGGAGATAATTCCCTGTCATCTGACTTATCAAAAAACATATATCCCTATTCGTCCCGCGTCGGCCGCATCGTATATAGTGCTGATAAATAGTGCGAATAAAAAGAGTCGTCTTGGTATTGTGTAATAATTAAAAAATAAAAAATAATAAATATAATAAATTATAAATAAACGTTATATTAACGTTTATTTAACGTTAGATCTTATTAATTTTTTTTTGTTTTTAAATATTATTACTAAACACCAAATATCAATGGTTACTGCCGGCACGTCGTTGTAAAGCCTTCATTGGCAATTACCACGGATAAATTAAATAGTCGATTCTCAATATTATCATCTGTTATTTGAATTTTTGTATTACGTACGGACGTTTTTTGTACAAAAATGTCAAAATACAGTGGGGGCGTTATCGTTGAGCAGCATTTGCGACAATTGTACGCTACATGACTTCAGCATAAGTGGCATGACACAATACATTGCCACATAAATAGGGTGTCCATATAATATCAACCATTAACACAACGTCTACACATAATATGGCCATGAACATGCACCGATAGAGCGGGACGCCACAGCATGATACAGCGGTACAGCGCAGCGAGTTTAGGTCCGGCAGGACCAGGGTCGTATGTATGGATTAGTTGCTACTCGATATACCTTCGTTCGTCAGTTTCCACGTCGTCAGCGGGGCGGCGAGTGTCGAAGGCGATAGCTCACTGGACATCACGATCACATCATAAGTTCCTGTTACAAATATCCTGATATTAAGAGGGCGCACAAGTTACAAATCTTCTGATATCAAACTCGATTTTATTTTATACAGTTTTCCCATTCCTTCCATTCCATTCTACTCGCATGTGTTGTAGCCGTATTCCGTCTAACAAAATGTCTAACATGGCAAAAATTGTTTTGCGGGGGATAGAACAAATCAGGCTGTAGCCAAGGCAAGTAAGCAACTAAATTGTCGTACTATTTAGAGGAGAAAATTTAATGTGTGACATCGTTTTTATTTTTTTTGATGTCACAAATACAAAAAAAGCTATTCGAGTTTGAAATAATGAAATTAAAATAAGAATAAATTACAATTACAATTAGAACTTTTCTTGTATTTGTGACACCGAAAAAATAAGAACCATGTAGCACAGTAAAATACTCACCTACTTAATACTAAGCAAATTTGGTTGCTTAGCTTAGAATACAGCCAGACTGTTCCTATCCCGCTCAAAACAGTTTTCGCTATGTTAGACGTTTATAAAACGGATACAACACATATAAGCGGGTGTGACGTCATCTAAATCGAAGACCCAAATATCCGACCGCGAACACGTACCGCACAGTCATATACTCACACACCGATATGAAGCTTAAAGTGTCGGAAATTACTGGGTATTCAATATTCAAATGTCTCTACAGTCTACAGCTAGTGAGAACTGAGAAGTACCTATAGTATGTATGTGGGTTTGCTTTTTAAATTTCTTGGCAAAATAAATAATTTATTTACAAATGCCTATCCTGGTGGCTGGTCTTTATGTAGTTTTTACAAGTGACTTTTTACTCTGTCAATCACT